AGAAAGCTACAGGTCTGGATAATATCAGTGATTTGGTTGTGAATTCCTTTGCAAGAGAACTGGTTCCAGGTTGACAAGTAATCGCCCAGCTTTCTGCAGATACACAGAAAATCATGTATTACCCTAAGAAATCATATCCTAAGGATTGTGATGATTTTCGTCCAGTAGTGATTACATCAGTTGTTATGAAATCTTGTGAGTGGATCCTAGTTCAGCACCTTACCAAGACAATTAATAGTAAATAGTAAATTAGATTCATATCAGTTTTCACGTAATCATGGTCATAGCACTGATGACACAGTAGTCACATTTTGTGTTAAAGCATTTGGACCAACCTCATACATACGCTAGAGCACTTTTTCTGGATTTTTCCTCTGCATTTAACACCATTCAACCTGATATTCTTCTGTCAAAAATGGCTCAGTTAGATATTAATTCTTATCTTATTCATTTTGATATAAGGATTTCATTATTTCAATTATATTACAGCAAGTTAAAGTAAATAAAACACTATCATTGCCCATTACTAAAGTTGGAACAGCACAAGGATGTGTAAGTTTTCTGTTTTTGTTTACACTGTATATAAATTATATAATATATAATATAGATGTAAAGCTTAAGAACCGAATCATTTTATTTTAAAATATCCTGATGATTCTACATTATTAGCTCTGTTGACGGATAAGGATCACATTGATCTATTTCAACAGAGTGTTTATAGGTGGGTAGGTTGGTGTAATCAGTATGCTCTTATTATTTATACAAACAAGACAGAGGAGATTGATTTTGGTCTCTCTCCTGATTCATTTCCACTTTCTTTAGGCTTACATATAAATGCAACACTATCATGGAATAGTTATATTGATTATGTCTGCAGGTACAGCAATGTATTTATCTTCTTCACAGGTTAATAAATCATCATAATCATAATCAGATTTTATTTTTGTTTTACAGTACAGTGATCCAGAGCATGATGCAATACTGTGCGACAGCATGGTATACTTGTCTTTCAGTGAAATTAAAGATTGCTGAGATTGATACAAATTTGTTTCAAGATTGTAGATCAATCTTTGGAGAGTTTCACAACAGCCTTTAGGAAAAGTGTAGAAAGATTAGCGTGTAGTATTTTGTATGACCCATCACATGTGCTACATGGTGAAAAGAACTTACTAGATTTAGGAACTCTTTTATTGATAATTGACAGCTATAGTTTTGATACTTCAAAAGAACATACTTTAGATAAGTAAAGTTGTACTTAGGTTGAAGTCATCAAAACTCATATTTATCCCCTCCACAGATTCCTTATCAACAAACTATAGTTTTAGAAAGTTGTTTAGGGTATCTACTTTGCATAAGACACAAGCATTTGTGTCCAACAAATGTTTACAAACAGATTATTTAACGTATAATTCAGTGTATCAAAATTTACATACACCAAGACTGTGCCTTTAAATATCTTGGAAAATTCCAGAAAATGATATCATTGCTTTAGAAGTTTCTCATAGGCTAATTGACATTATTTAAATTAATTGAAGTTATACCTGTGGAAGTATTTTCAGACCCACCTTCAAGGTGTATTTGCCTCTTTGCTTGACATCATGGCAAAATCAAAAGAAATCAGCCAAGATGTCAAAAAAAGAAATGTGGACCTTCACAAGTCTGGAACATCTTTCCGAGAAATTTCCAAATGCCTGAAGGTACCATGTTCATCTGTTCAAACAATAATATGCAAGTTTAAATACAATGGGACCATGCAGCCATCTTACCGTTGAGACGTGTTCTGTCTCCTAGAGATGAACGTACTTTGGTGTGAAGAATACAAATCCTAGAACAACAGTAAACGACCTTGTGAAGATGCTGGAGAAAACAAGTTCAAAAGTATCTATATCAAAAGTAAAACATGTCCTACATCGACATGACCTGAAAGGCTGCTCAGCAAGGAGGAAGCCACTGCTCCAAAACCGCCATAGGATAGTCAGCTTACAGTTTGCAACTGCACATGGGGACAAAGATCTTACTGTTTGGAGAAATGTCCTCTGGTCTAATGAAACGAAAACGGAACTGTTTCGCCATATTGACCATCATTATGTGATCTGAAAAAGGGGAAGGCTTGCAAGGCAAAGAACATCATCCCAACCATGAAGCAAGGTGGTGGCAGCATCATGTTCTGGTGCTTTGCCTCAGGAGGGACTGATGCACTTCACAAAATAAACAGCTTATGGACAACAAAATAAAGGTAAAGGCATAGTTTTCACAAAGCCCTGACCTCAATCCCATAGAAAATTTATGGGCAGAACTGAAAATGTGTGTGCGAGCAAAGAGGCCTACAAACCTGACTCAGTTTGACAAGTTCTGTCAGGAATGAGACAAAATTCCAGCAACGATTTGTGAGAAGCTTGTGGAAGTTCATCTGAAACGTTTGAATCAAGTTAAACAATTTAAAGGCAATGCTACCAAATTACTAACCACACATATGTAAACACTGGGCCACTCGGAATGTACTGAAAGAAATACAAGCAGAAATAAATCATTGTTTTTAGTATTATTCTGACATTTTACATTCTTAAAATATAGTAGTGATCCTAACTAACCTAAGAGAGGGAATGTGTACTAGGATTACATGTGAGGAACTGTGAGTTTAAATGTGGCTAAGGTGTATGTAAACATGACTTCAACTGTTTATGCATGCGTACCTGTGCCTACATGCATGTGTTATATGTACATGTGCGCCTAAGTGGGGTGTTAACACTGCAGATCCAGTTCTTCTAGTCAGAGGGGGCAAAGAGATCCCAGATGGTCATGTTTGTTAGGAACCCTATCAGCAGAGGGGATAAAGCTGGCCCTACCCCTGTTTGTATTAAATACATAGGCAGCATATCTCCTACCAGAGGGTAGGATCCGAAGGCAGGTGCTCAGGATATGAACTGAGACTCAAGTGAAGTCAAATGAGGTCAAGTTAAGAGGCTTTTATTGTCATCCCATCTGTGTACTTGAAAAGACGTTCCTCCAGGACCATGGTGCATGGTCCCTCGTGATTATATATGCTTTTTTCACTGCCCTCTGATCATAGAGACACTGGAGGGTTGAGAACTTCTCCCTGCAAAGCTTAGACCCCACTGTGATCAGTTTAGCCTTGTTGGTCTCTGAGAGCCCCCCATAGCAAGCTAGGAAAGAAAAAGAAGGAGGATCTCTATAGATTTTATATGGCAGATATAAAAGATATGGAGGATGGGAGAGGCTTCAGAGGCCTCAGCTTTCTTAGGAGGTAAGTCCGCTAAAGTTTGAAAAAGTTTGAAGATGGTTTGTGTGTTATCATTGAAGGTCATCCTGCTATCAATGATGGGCCTGAGAAACTTGCAGCTGATAACCCTCTCCACAGCCTCTCTGCTGAGTGTCATCGGTGGGACAGGATTAGCATTTCTCTGGCAAGACTATGTGGAGAAAGTGCTCCTCACACCACTGGTGCAGCTTCTTTATTTCCTTGTCAAAGTGGGCAGGACTGTGTGGGGTGTCAACCATTGCAGTGTCATCTGCAAACTTCATGGCTGTGCTCACACCATCTGAGCCCCACAGGTCATTGGTATATAGAGAAAACAGGACAGGGGAAATCATTGTTTCCTGGAGACAATTGGAGTACCAGTGGATGTAAGCATGACAAGAAAGACTCTTGCAAACTGCTCCCTGTCGAGGAAGAAATTTAGTATCCAGAGGATCATGTGGGGATCTTAAAATTTCTAATTTTAGACCAAAGGTGCTGTTATTGCGAATTGGTTGAAGTAGTCTAATATTACTAAGATTTTGTTTGATTCGGGGAACAGACATAGTCTCATTTAGGTGGTACCTATGTGGCATCATAAAGCAGCAGAGCTAACAGTGGGGAAGCTTTAGCTTTAGCTTTAGCTTTACGACTATGCTGTCAAGACGCCACCCATTCGCCTCACACTGAGGGCTCTGCTGCCGGAGGCGAGGGCATGCTAGCTCTCCCTGAGGCACCTGGAGCTTCTAACAGTCTGAGCCCTGCTGACCAGCCCTGCTCTTTTCTAATTACAGAAACACACCTCTGTATAATCACAACTGTATAATCTTTTCTGTCAAGCAAGAAACTAACTTACACTTCTCACAAACAAAGCTAGTAACACTGCTGTCACTAGTGACGGAGAGAAAAGCATAACTGAACATGCCTCACTGACAGCAAAGCGAAACTTCATACTGATCTTTTCCAAAACGATTCTTGAGAAGTTGATGAATACAAAAGGCCTCTGAATGCCTGTGGTTTTCATTTTTACACATCAATACACATCTACAAGTGACAAATCTAAAAATCAGCTACAGACTAGTAGAGATTAAAGTGCAAAAAGAAGGAACAGTCTCACCAACTATTTCTGAAAAACAAGAACTGTCACTTTGAACCCTCAATCCTCAATTCCCACCATTCATGATCTCTACTAATACTACTACTACTATTATTATTATTATTATTATTATTATTGTTTTTTTGTTGTTGTTGTTTTGTTGTTTTTTGCTATAGTCACAATTAACTTAAGAAAGCTAATTAGAAATAAATACATCTATTTATGCACTTTCGGAGCCCATTGCAAATTATGTGTTAAATATTTTGAGTATCAACTGCTTCAATCTGAAGTTGTGACCAACACCACTATTACAGTTTTAGATTTATTTCTATTTATATGTTGCTTATTTTCACAATATCTTTATTGTGCTGTGGGCCTGAGAGTGCCAAGCCTTTAGTTATTCAACTGTTAAAGGGTTAAATGAAGGGTTAAATGATTTAACTCTATCAGACACACCTGTTTAACTGTCAGTTCTCACACTCAGAACCAGGAAACTGTCTCTGTTCTTCAGTTCAGAGAAACAGAAACTTCACTCAATTCCACAGTGGAGCTGCTGCTGTATGGATCTCTGACTGTGCTGGTGTTTCTGTGAAGCATCTGGAGATTTTCTGTCGCACTGACCAGCAGTGTATCTGCATTCTGTGTACCATGGATGAACATAAAGGACATGATACAGTACCAGCTGCAGCAGAACGAGCTGAGAAACAGGTAAGAACTGTATTAACTTTATATTATTACTTAAATTGAAAGACAGAAAAATGGGATCTGTGAGCACATCAAAAACATCAACTCAACAGCAGATCTTTCTAGTCCAGTCCATCAAGCAACTTGTCTGTACCAGGATCTCATCTAACCAGATAAACTTCTGTTTCTGTCAAACAATGACACCAATGCAAAAACATTCCAGACGCATTCCAAAATCAGGAGTGGTGTATACAGTGAGACTCTGAACATACCTGTGATTCAACATACCTGTATTTTCAGATTTATAGTATTGCATATAACCCATTCTAAGTAAATGTGTGGATGGATTATGGTTTGTGTTTCTGTAGAAGAAGCTAATGGAAACCAAGACACAACTCCAGCAGAGAATCCAGGAGAGAGAGAAGGAGGTGGAGGAGCTGAGGAAGGCTGTGGAGTCTCACAAGGTGAGTTTGGAGCAGAACATCAAGAGCTGATTTCTAGAAGAGGATTGATCTGTTGCAGGATCTGTTATAGTCAGCTAGACAGACAGAATCTAATCAGCAGCCAAAACAAAGAGATTATCAGTTTCATACACTTTGAAACGCAGATTCTGTGTTGGGGGAAAAAGTCTTCTGACTCTTCTCCTCTCTCTCTGCTCTAACAGCGCTCTGCTCAGACAGCAGTGGAGAACACCAAGAAGATCTTTACTGAACTGATAGATAAATAGATAGATAGATGTGAGTGAATTAGCTGTCTGTATCTGACTCTTCTCCTCTCTCTCTCTGCTCTAACAGAGCTCTGCTCAGACTGCAGTGGAGAACACTGAGAAGATCTTTACTGAACTGATCAGCTCCATTGAGCGAAGACGCTCTGAGATATCAGAGCTGGTCAGAGCTCAGGAGGAGGCTGCAGTGAGTCGAGCTGAAGGAGCCCTGAGGAGACTGGAGCAGGAGATCTCTGAGCTGAGGAGGAGAAACACTGAGCTGGAGCAGCTTTCACTCACTGAGGACCACATCCATTTCCTCCAGGTAACAGCACCACCAGAACCTCTACACTGAGATTCACCAAATACACTCAAAGCCAGAAAATATAAATATATTTTCTGCAAATGTTAATCATTGATGTTTAGTGCCTCTTACATGAATATGTATCTACTAAAAAATGATCTCCAATTAAAATTTGGGAACTGAAGCAAAACCAGAGCATCTTTAATTAAGGAAGTATATAAATCATTACAGTAGTTCAAGTGTTTATATAGGTATCATCAAATCCTGTAAAATACTGTAAAAAAAAATTCTGATTCGTTAACTTAAGGAAGATACAAAACATGATGATGGTGATTAATAGCTAAAGGACAATCATTTACATTGATTCATTATGTTGTATGGACAGATCAAGCTGAGTCTCATCAGCATAAATTTGAAAAACATTAAAACACTGAGTTAACCTGGATTAAAAACATAGGGGAAGCATATAGAATAAAAATAAAATAGGGCCAAGAATGGAGCCCTGAGGCACCCCACAGGTAAGATATATAGTAGAGGACATCCTGTTACCAATGAACAATAAACATTTTTACTGGGTGTAACAACTTTAATTATGGGTGGAGGAAGGACGTCGGGGGCAGGTGTAAAGACGGAGAGCTTTTTATTATTTACACACAACGCAAAAACTACTCAGCTTTTCAGCCCACAGACAAATTAAGCAGAGAAGCTCGCTGGGACTTTTCAGTCCTTTCTTTCTTTCTTTCTAGCTCAGTTCAGCTCAGCTCAGTTCAGTTCGGTTCAGCTCGGCTCTCACGCCCTCACGGGTCTCCTTCTCTCTCTGGGCTCTGCCACCTACTGAGGGAAGAGGTGACTATATGTAGGCTGGCAGAAACAAGGCACAGGTGAACATCATCAGCTACTTATCTTGCTGGTTCAGCCCGACCGGCTTCTTCATCCTGCATTCGCCGCTCGGCCACGCCCCCCTCTCCACATACCCCCATGCCCGACACAGGCCGGGCAGCCATCGGGCCGACACCCCACTCCCCCTCCCACTCGAGCGGGAGAGGAAGTTGGCCACCACCATCTGAGACCCCGGCCTGTGAATCACTTCAAATCTAAAGGTTTGGAGAGCTAGACAGTGAGTGATTCTGGAGTTGGAATTCTTCATGCGGTGGAGCCACTGGCGAGGGGCGTGGTCAGAACAGAGGGTAAAAGGGCGCCCCAATGGTTAATAGCGGAGGGTGAGGACCGCCCATTTGATGGCCAGACATTCTTTTTCAATGGTGCTCTACTTAGTCTCCCAAGGCAATAATTTCTGACTTATGTACAGCACGGGGCGATCCTCCCCCTCCACCACCTGGGACAAAATGGCCCCCAGCCCTCTATCTGACGCGTCAGTCTGCAAGACAAAGCAGCGGGCCCCCAAAGAAAGCTGCCTTAACACGGTTCACAACCTGTTTGCACTGCTCCGTCCACTGAACCGGATCTGGTGCTCCCTTTTTAGTGAGATCAGTCAGCAGGCTGGTGACGTCCGACTAATTAGGTATGAATCTACGATAATAGCCAGCCAATCCCCAGGAAGCGCCTCACCTCCTTTTCGGTCTTGGGTCTCAGACACGTCGCAATTGTGGCCATCTTATCAATTTGGGGACGCACCTGTATGTGACCCAAGTGGAAGCCCAGATACTGTACCTCCACGCATCCAATCGCACTCTTCTTTGGGTTGGCCGTAAGCCCTGCCCGTCTCAGCGATCTCAGAAGCGCCCTCAAATGTTGCACATGCAGCGGCATAAGCACAGTGGGGGCGGAGAATTCTATTCATGAGTCACTGAAACGTGGCCGGTGCTCTGAATAACCCAAAAGGGAGAGTGATGAATTGGTGTAACCCAAACAGCGTTTTTTCTCGGGATACTGGAGTCAAGGGGATCTGCCAGTAGCCCTTGGTCAAATCTAGTGTTGAGTAAAAACGAACAGCCCCTAACTGATCGAGTAGTTCATTGGATAGGCATCGAATTAAGACACTGCATTGACTTTTCTGTAGTCCACACAGAAATGAACAGTCCTGTCAGGCTTGGGGACAAGCACTACGGGGCTGCTCCAATCACTGTGGGACTCTTCGATTATCCCCATATCGAGCATAGCCTTAATTTTGTCCTGAAACACCTTTTTTTTGTGCTCAGGCAAGTGATAAGGCCGTCTGTGTACAACCACGCCAGGAGGAGTTTCAATGTGGTGCTCTATGAGGTCAGTACGGCCAGGCAGAGGCAAAAACATGTCAAAAAACTCCATTTGTAACTTTGCCATCTCTGCTTTCTGGGATGGGGAAAGCAGACAGATCGTGATTCAGTTTGGTTGGGACCTCTGGCCCCAACTCGGCTCTCTCGGGAACCACCTTCGCCAGAGAAACAGGGACCGTCTCCCTCCTGGGTTTAAGGAGATTGAGATGGTATACCTGAACTGCCCTGCCTCTGTCTGTCTGTGTGACCTCATAGTCAACTTCTCCCACTCGCTGTGTGACCTCAAAGGGTCCTTGCCACTTGGCAAGCAATTTGGAGCTCGATGTAGGGAGTAAAATGAGTACTTTGTCTCCCAGTGAAAACCTACGCAGCCAAGTGCCCCTGTCACAGACGAATGCGGAAGCCTCGAACGCGGCACATGCTCCCTTCCTTATAGCACTGTGGGATCCATCCTCTACGAAAGCCTTCACTAGCACCCCAAACTGCGACCAATTTGGACTAACCGCCACCTTTCACACTATGCTTTTTTCCCCGAAACTCGATTGTAATGGGCAGGAGAGAATAATTGTGTACATCCTCATGGACACACTGCACCTTCACCCGATATGCCCTCTCCAATGCCACGTCCGAATTGTGGTTTGATTACAGCCAGAATCCACCAAGGCTTGATATGTACCCCCTTGAATACTCACTGGTATGTGGTACGCTCCAGCTCGATCAGGGGAGGTGGGTGGCGATGTGGGAACCCGGACCAATGTTCCAACCTCCATGTGGTGGCACTGGTCCTGGAAATGTCCGGGCTCCCCACATCGCCAACACACCTGCCCAGGCTTCACCCCAGCTCTCGTGGGCTCAGCTGTTGCCCCCTGTGTAGAGAGAGAAGGTAGACCATGAGTAGCTGCAGGGGGGGTGCAGGAGGTAGAAAGGGGGGGTCGTGGGGAGGGCGAGAGCGGGGAAAGAGTTTGGGGGCTAGAGCTCCCTTCTTTCTGGGAGTGGGAATAGGGAGAGAGAGAGAAGGAGAGAGCGGTATTGGCTGGGTGGGGGTTCTTGCCCCTGAATACGCCGCCATATGCACCTCTGTCAGCTTTGTGACTTCGTCCAGCGATTCTGGTTGGTGGCACTGGACCCAAGCTACTGTCTCCTCGAGTAAGTGGGCGATGAACTGCTCCAGCACCACCAGGTCGAGCACCTCCTCGGAATCGCATTCTTCGGACAAGAGCCACCTCCTGCAGGAATCGCGGAGCTGCTCCTGCTTCTCCGTCCTGCATTCGACATTCACCCATGCCCCCCTCTCCACACTGGGTAAATAAGATAAAAGACAATTCAGAGCAGTTCATGATTTGCAAACACACTCACAAAGCCAGCAGTATCAAAGACTGAGTTAAGATGGAGCAATAGTAAAACAGAGACTTTCCCAGAGTCAGCATGTCTTATAATATAATTTTGAACTTTTGTCTCAGAAAAGCCAGACTTTTCCAAAATGTTGTTTGGGAACATTTTCTTTGAAAAAAAAAATCTAATTCTTTGAAATAAAAGCAAATTTAGAGATACAAACTTATTCCATAATTAGGTGACTGTATATCAGGTTTTGTAAGCTAAACATTAGCCAATGTAAAACAGTCTGAAACACAATGAAAGCAGAAATAAACCTTACCATAGTTTTTAGATCCTGCAGTTCCTAAAACCAAGATCCTCTCAGTCTCCATTATCAAATCAAATCAAATCAAATCAAATCAAATCAGATTTATTGTCACATCACAAGAGTACAGGGACACAGGTGAGTGAAAAACTTGAGTGCGAGTTCCACAAATTATGCAGAGAACAGTATTTACACATAGATAAACAAAACTATAGATAGGATAGAAGAATAGATAAAACCAATTTAACTAAAATATATACATATAATCTTACACAATAACTTAAAAATAATAATATTGCACCGAGACATATAATATTGCACTGGGAATGCAGAGTGAGTGTAATCAACTATATACTATATATAGTAATGGATATTACAATGCTATGTGGATGTGCAAATAATCACACTAGGTGTGGAGGTAGAAGATGGTACAGTAGGTGGCAGAGTATTTAGTAAAGTGCAAGGTACAGGAAGTTAAGTGGAAGCGCAGGGGGAGAGTATTGTCTTTGGATAGGTATTCAAAGTCCAGCTATGCAAGTAAAGTGCGGGAGTACAGTGGGTGCACGTACGTGTAATGGGAAGGGTTGGGCTGGGCAGAGCAGTGATTACTGGCTGTTCAATAGCCTGGTTGCATGGGGGAAGAAGCTGTCTTTGAGCCATTAGCTCCTCTTAGATGGGAGTAAACTGATGTAAGATGTGTATTTTAGCTGTCTTGTTTATTTGGTTCTCTGTAGAGTTTCCAGCCTCTCTTGGTTCCTCCTGAATCTGCATTGACCTCCATCATATTCAGTCCTAATGACTCTTTTAAGGAGGTGTTAAACTCTGTGTCTCAGCTGAGAGAGAAAGTGGAGCAGCTCTGTGAAGAGGAGTTTAGAAAGATCTCTAGTGGAGGTGAGAGATTACAGATGTTCTCAACACCTTTTATTGGATATTCAGCAGTTCTCTGAAGAACACAGTGTAGAGTTCAGTGCCTGGTTCCATAAAACACCTTAAGGATTTCTTTAAGCTCAATGTGTTTCACAGAAAAGCCTTAAGTGATCATATAAGAGTTTCCTTAGTTGACATGATCATACACCTTGTGAACGCTGCAATAATTAAAATGTACATTAAATATATAGATGGATAAATAAATATTAATTTCTGCACTAATAATGCAGCTCAGACTGAATGCAGTGTGTTAAGCCGAGTTCACACTACATGATTTTAGCCCTGATTTTCCACTTGCCAACAGTTTTGGGGAAAAGCCTCAGATCAGCATTAAACGCTATAATACTTTATAAAGCAAGAGTGTTACTTCATCTAAAACACACTACGTTATCTGTTCATAAGAACTCTGTACACATTGGAGTTGTAATGCACTATAAACACAACCCTTTGTAGAGCTTTAATATAGGCTTTAAATAAGGTTTTCTATGTCTTTTAAGGAATGTTCATTTGAGTACATAATACCTTATAGAGCATCATAAGAGCTCTTTATAGGCTTTAAGTGAGTTTAGATAATCATGTGTCAAATGTGTGAAATGGGAAGGTCACTCTGCAGTTTGCAGGGTCTGTCTTACACACTAAGATTCATATGTGAATATATCACTTTACTCCAATGCAGGAACTGTTTAAAGCTTGAATTAGCAAAGCTACTGTTAGATGGACTCCTAAACAAGGAAATAAAGAAAGAAAGAAAGAAAGAAAGAAAGAAAGAAGAATTTAAAGCAGGTCCACAAAAACAGCCCTCTCCATACAAAATCTTTTCCCACAGCTGTTGGGGGCAGAACACCTGGGTCTGCTGTTATGCAAATAACATACCAGAACCCTGTTATAATGTATTATAGCGTTAATGTTTAGAATGTTCTTACTAACAGATATTACAGTGTGTTATGAAATCT